AAAAGGCTGAAGTTCAACTTCATACAGTGAAATTACTACTCTAAGTTAAGAAAGTGTTCATTCTAATTTTTCAAAAAATCAATCCAGTTTATTCTTTTAACTTAATTGGGAATTAAAAAAATCAAATATCAAACAGATTGTGAACCAAACCTAACGCGTCCCCAGTGCCCTTAACTGTTTTGTTCAAACCTTTTACATTTTTCTTTTAGATGTCACTGAACCAGCACATCAAGCTTTTTGCTAAGCATTAGGTAAAGACAGAACTGCCAGCCACTTTAAAAACAAGCGCAGTTGTTGCTTTTTTTTCAACAGTTCATAAAGCTTAGTTTTTCTATGAAGTGAAGTTTATTATAACATTAAGGAACAGTATTTAAACAGTTATTTTAATGGTATATTTTACAAATCAATTCATACAGAGAAAATAAGCAAACACAATGTTGTTTTAAAGTTATTACCAAGAAGCTACATTGTTAAGCTGTTAGCAAGTAAGTGTAGTACTGTAAACTAACAATCAAGTATTGTAGTAACTTGCAGTTCCAGGATGAGATGGTAAAAATGCCAGACAAGCAAATATACTTTACGATTTTTTGTACTCAATTCTTTCTACTTTCACATCATCTCCAATTAGTTGATAGACATACGTAACTACTGTAGAAGCCTGGATATCCATCAGCACAAATGAAGGAATGATATTGCTGGAAAGAGAGGAAAAAAGTCATATTGTTTAGTATTAAACTGTAGTAGTAGTGTTTCATCGTTAGACTTCTTAGCAAGAATCACTTTAATTGATTCCAGTTTTGTAAGCACAGTACATCAGATCTGAAGCTTTATTTCTCTGTGTTTCACTCCAGGACAATTAGCAATTACTATAAACCTCTCCTCTGCCTGACATTTAGAATGTAAATATTAACCTTCACAAGGAGTTCTGTAGTTTGTGTTATCAGAAGAAAACCCCCCACAGGAATTTCCCATCCCATACTTACTTTTCTAAGGCATGATAAGCTCCTGTAGCTGATCCTGGGTTGATATAGAATTTGTTTTCATGTTCAAACGCCTCAAATTTGTGTGTATGTCCTGAAATGAGGATGTCCACATCAAACTGCCTTTGTAGCAGTGCCAGGCTTGCCATATCACCCCAAGGAATGACCTGATGGCCGTGAATCAGCCCAATTTTGAACTGTCCAACAGTTACAACTTTCTGTTCAGGATAATTCAGGTTCTAAAAATCAAAGTAAAAAAAAAAAATCAGATTTTCAGATTTATATTTAAAAAGCTGCATAAAACAGAAATGTGGAAAGCCTATGGAAATACCTTGTGATTTGCTCTACTGCTACAAAACAAGAGCTACAATACTGCTTTTATGAACAGTATCAAGAATTTGGTAAAGATGCAAGGAATTTTAAAGATCTCACAACTGGAGCTCCTGTTGGCTTGAGTCTTAGACTTAGCTAAGTACATAAATTAGTTCTATGACAGAAGACCAATGACAGAAGAGAACTTACTGTGCAATTCATATCAAGTGGAACCCCTTTTCACTCCTAATACTACATAAGCTCAATTTGCCCACCAGTACAAATAACACAAACATTGCCTTTATGTAAGAGATGAACCAAATACCAAGAGAAGCCACTACCTCATCAAAGTCCCCTCTGACAACATGAACGTCCCCAGCCAGAGTCTTGAGGTAGTCATAAGTGTCCTTGGTGCAGAGGTTTCCCGTGCAGAGAATGTGTTGGATCTTTCCTGGAACCAGCAGCTTTTTGAATTTGGCTGGGAGGCTGTTGCATCGATGTGGAATGTGAAGATCTCCTAATACTAACACCAACTTACCGGGTGTCATGACAGGGAAGAAAAATCATTATAGATACTTAAGACAAGAATCATTACGTAACAGAAAGCATTGCAATGTCATCAGTTTTGTAACTGCATTTTGATATAAAAGCTACTCAAATAAGAATGAAATGGTGATGGAATATTTCTATATTTGAGTGAAGGCAAGGGCCCTTACTAATCTTGAATGTTGTCAAGAGGAGGGCCTTATGAACACAAGGGTCTACAGTTTTTTGTTGTTGTTGCTTTCAGCAACAAAATTAAAACAAGCCACTGCAGGGTATAGCAAAAGAACTGTATTACTACTTGATGCAATTTACACAAATTTGGAAACTACCATAAACTATCCTACATTCTGTTTTCACTTAAACATTAAAAAAAAAAAAGAAAAGATAGAGGACATCTCTACCAGATGTTCTCAAGTACAGAACTAGCTAAACTGTAGTCAATTCCCTTTAAAAATCCTTCATCCCAGCTTCTTTCTACATTAATTAACTTCTGTTTTTTTATCAAAAGAAAAAAAAAAAGAAAATAGCAAATTTGCAATGTGTGTTAATAGTTAATCAGAACAGGACGCTTGTTCCAAGCCCATACTGTAGGAATCAATGAACAACAGAAGAGTAAAAAAATAATGAAATGGAAAAAAAAACCAAAACACTGCAGCAGAGAAGATAGATTATTACATGCAGTGTTTCTATTACCAGTTTTATCCATTCACAGTTTCATTACAAAATATGCAAGGAAAACAAATTTAATGGCAGCTTCGAAATTATGGATTCAGATGAAGGCCATGGTTTGATATTTTAGGCCTAATAAAGAAATAATTAATGCAAGCAAAGTAGCGATAAATTAATTTTGCAAGAAGGGCATGAAAAGCTCTATGAAGCATGGGTGTTATGCTTCTATACTGAAACCACTGGATTTAAAGGCAGGCCTCCCTGACAGCCTGATGGACACCTCCCAGTTAACTGTAGCAGATCATCTTCCAACCCTAACACTTTGCTGGGCAGACTGTTCCTAGAATGACAGCCATCTAATCTGTGTAAAAAACAGTTCAGAAATCTATATGCACCTATATACGTAAGCAATAGAAACCAAGTCACCTTTCTTAATTTTTATATCTTTAAGCCATGCAGCTCTCTTCATGCTAGCTGTCACCAAAAGGCAGAAAACTTGGGTGTTTTTTTCTCCCTGTTTTTAATTAACAATGTCTTGGCACCATCATGAAACCCATGCACTTCTTGAGAGTAGGTGTTTGAAAATACTGGCAAACAGTACAGGAGTTCTTTCATCTACAAGCTACCAATCTGAAACCAACCCAGGAAAGAAATACAAATATATGACTTTTAATGGCCTTTCAAAAGTTGTCCAAAATACTAACTAGCTCCTAATTGTGATGATGTACTGGAAAGCACGTAAAAATAGGTAATGAGTGATTCTGATCATTAAAGTGACAATTGATGGGTTCTCTCGCTGACACCTCAGGATTTAGGCACGCAGTCCCCGTTCTGCACATGACGTTTAATCAGACCGCGCTGCCACTTACACACAGCCCCGCTGCAGTCAGCAGAGCACCCAACAGAGATCGCCTCTGCTGGTGAGCAGGCAGGCCACGTTCCCCCAGATCCCTTCTGAGCTCCCGTTACTTACATTAAAGCTTGGAAAGCCACCGTAACAATGAGCGAAGGCACCCAGGTGTGACTCGGAGCTGGGGTGCAGCTGGGGAGTAGCCCCTGGGTGCCTCCTGGGAGCCTCCTTGGATGCCTTCTGCCTATCTTGGGCAGTTCCTGGGTGCCTCCTGCCCTTTCTGGAAGCCTCCTGGATGCTTCCTGCCTCTCTTGGGTAGTTCCTGGGTGCCTCCTGTGTACTGTGGGTGCCTCTTGGGTGCCTCCTGCCTTTCCTGGGATCCTCCTGGATGCTTCCTGGATGCTTCCTACCTATCTTGGGTAGTTCCTGAGTGCCTTGTGCTTGCCCTGGGTGCCTCCTGCCTGCCCCTAGGTGGGTCCTGGGTGCCTCCTGGAGGCTCCCTGCCTGCCCTGGGTGCCCGCTGGCCGCCCCCCGAGCCCGTTCGGCGCACTTACTCTGTGCCCGGCCTTAGGGGCGGCGGAGTTGATCGCAGACAGGGGAATGGAAAACGGGGTGAGACGCGACCAGCGTTAAACGAAAAGGAAGCAAGAGAAAAGAAAAAAAAAATAAAAAAAAAAAAACACAGCCGGATGAACGGGGAAGGAAATAAAAAAAATATTAATAAATTAATTAAATTAAATTAAAAAATCACAATTAATGATTTGTCGGCGTTATGAGAGAAGCGTTAAAATCAAAATCATGAGGGGAAAAAATTAAAAACAAAACGCTCCGAGCGCAGCCCCCCCCCCCCCACCTCAGGCCTAACCTCCCCCACCACCACCCCTTCGCCTCCCTCCTCCGGGCGCCGGCTGACGGAGCCCCCCCGGTAAGAAGCAGCCGGGAGCGGAGCGCCCCGACCCGGGGGGACCGGGGAGGGGGGGGGACCGAGCCCCGGGGCCGTGCCCGCCGCCTCTCACCATCCTGCCCGCCGCCGCCCGCACCTCCCCGCGGAAGCCAGGCCCCGCCGCCGCCGCTACGGCGCCTCCACAGGGCCAAGCCGGCCCCGACCGCGTTTTCTCCGCCGCCCGCCCCCTGCGGCTGCATCCGGGGCTCGCCGTGAGGGGAAGGGCGCGGCCATGAGGGGGGTGCTCGGGGGGGCTCCCCTCAGAGGTACCGAGCGCGGGCAGGGTGCGGGGCGGCCCCCTCAGGGCGCTGCCTCAGCGCGGGCAGGGAGTGAGACCCCCTTGGGTGTCCCTCGGGGCGAGGTCCCCGCGCTCGTTGTCGCCACAAAATGTCTTTTTTTCTGACTAAAATGGTGGTCGGTGTGGCCGTGGGGAGACTTTGGGGGGAAATCAGGGTGTTTCGGGGGCTGCTTGTGCAGGGAGGTGCCAAACCTGAGGTGTGCCTCGTTGGGCAGCCCTGGAGAGCACCAAGGTGTCGCTGCCACGGGACAGAGTAACGTTTGCCATCATGGTATCGATTTTCTTGGAAACGTGTGGTAAATGTGGAATGTTTCCCCTTAAATTATCGTGGAGAAGATGCGGTATAACTTGTTGTAACTTAAAATGCGCACTGTGGTGTTTTGTTTCATTCCTTTTAGTGTTTGGAAAAGCAATACACGCCATAGCACGTATTAGCGATGAGTTTTGCTTTGACCCCTTAGAAAAAGGCGTAAGTAAATTTGATTAATTGTCAGTGTAAAATCTTTGTTGGGAACACGGTTGTGCTGTTGGATATTGCCTTATCTGTTTTCCTACAGGTACACTTGAGTCTGAGTTACATTCCCTCTCAGCTCCCTCCACTTTCAACATGGACAAATGCCACATTTTCTGTAATTGTAATTATGCAGATTATATCCAGGAAGATTCATACCTGCTCTGCACCTAACATTATTGGAATTTGGTGTTACCCAAGGTGAAGCGTGTCCAGGACATCCGGATTAATACCAAGGGTTTTATTTCTATTGTCACAGGTCAAGAGGTTTATGTTTTGTACCACATCAGAAATCACGTTTGAACAACATGTTTTTGTATTGGTATGACTCAACAGGAAGAATTCCTCCCATTAATCAAACACCACTTCCCGCAGAATTAGGGTTTTCTCTAGAGATTTCTGAGTTAAAAGTGATCGACCCAGCTTGCTGGGAGGTCCTCTCTTTTCATGCGTGAAGTATCCCGTAGGTGCTGGTAGTGGCTGTGCTCATTTGTATGCCTTGTGTGGATGGACATACAGGAAGATTGTTTTAGAGCAAGCTCCAGTCCTTCACATACCTCAAACACAAGCTGAAACTCTGAGTGATTAGGTAACACACTTCAAAGCTTAACTCACACACTTAAATATCCCAAGATTGGATTCCTGTGCCTGCATTACACCTGTGACTTCTGACCAGTAATAATGAAGGTGATAAGTCTGAACATGATAATATGCATGATACATCTATATTTGTTTTGAGATGTACGCATTTAAAGGTTTTGTGGCCTATGTATGCTACTGAAGTACAGAGGTATTTTTTTTGGTAAAGATCCAGTATGAGACAGTTCTGAGGTAATCAATGATTTTACATTTCTTTTCAGCTTGCCTTGAGATCAGTGAATTCTTCAAGGTCAGCGTATGCATACATCTTCTTCTCATCTATGTTTTTTCAACATTACTGCTGGACAGCTGTGTCTCAACCATGTCAGAAAGAAAAACAGTTATCACTTCCATGTAAATTATTCATTAAGGTATATTTTAACAGATCGTTATGCCCAGCTTTGTAAGCAGCAAATTAGCTCAATTTCCAAATGAAATTGTAGGGGGAGGATCATATAGGCATGCAGAACACACTAAACTCAAGTGCTTCTGAGCAATTCTGTGAAAGAGAGTATTCATATTTAACTGCTTAAAACGTGTACCTCCTGAGCTGTGCCCTGCAGTTTCCAAAGCCTGAACCAGTTTAATCTTGGGGTGAAGGAATACTGCATTTCTGGCTCTTGGTTGTTTCTCCTGTAGCCCTTGAGAACAGTACAGGCCAGGAGAGCTTTGACCAGTTGTTCAGCAAACAGCCCTGTCAGCCACATACTGCAGTCGTGGGTGAGGCTGGCAAGGATCAGTTTCGGCTGCCTCCACGTCTGCTTACAAAGCAGTTTGGGGAAGCCATAAAAGCTCAAGATGAACTGCATGAGGCTAGGGAATAACATTGCAAAACTTCTTGGTGAGTAACCTCTGCACTGATCTTTTTTCTTCCCCAGTCAGTTCTTCCTGTATTTAGATGTGTAAATGTGCTGGAAAGGAATGTAGAGAAATGCAGCATTTATACAAATACTAATGAGCATCACATAACTTTTCAGCTTCTCTGCAGAAATGGTAGGTTACACAAAAAGTCACTTTCCAGAAACAGAAGCAGTTTTAAACAGCAGGGTAACATAATATTTAGTGTAATTACTAACTGAGTGTTATTGATGGAACATTATGCCAAACACTTTCAGCCTCTTCACATCAAAATTTATATTCAACATGTGCATCACCTTGTTAAAAAAAAAAAAAAGTTATGACAGGATTTATCAGACCGCCTTTCTTTATTTCAGTGGTTGTATATGCTTTATACTAATTGTCAGCCCACTTCTTACACCATTTAGAATTAGGCTGGATTCAATTCTGAAGAACACACTTTATGGAATTTAAAAGGGGAGGGAGGGAACTCCAGCTTTGGCAGGTGTTTGAAGTAAAGGATATAGTAGGTCTTTCCACTAATAATAACACTTAGAGGTAATATATTGAATTAGGTCTTAAGACAATTAAGCTTACTTAGTTCACACATCAGCTCAGGCTTATCTAGAAACAGATCTGTAGGGTTTGCCTTATGTATTCCACCACCATTTATATTACTGTATAAGTTAAATATTGAATTTATTTTTTTTCCGTGCATTTGTTGGACTTGTTGATGTTCAGTCATTTGCTGTGAATTCTTAAAAAACTCAGATGCTAGAGGGAATAACTAATAGGGTGAAGGAAGTGTTAGGTGGCATTTTAATTCATTTTTCTATTTGTGGTTGAGTTACTGATAGAGTCCTTCAGTTACTTTCTCTGTTGAGATGTCTTTCTTAAAAGAACAATTAATACTAAAAATAAAGTAGAATTTTAGACCCTTTTTGGCTTTAATGTAAGCATTACAATTCTTTTGATTTTTGTTCACGTGCTTTATACTTAGGTGTTATAAAAACGTATAATCTGACTTTCCAAGAATGTGATCCACTGCAGGCTGTTTTTGCAAAGCACATGTGTCCGAACATACTTAAAGTCCACTCCAGGTAATGAGTAGAAAAATATTTTTTTCTGAAAAGAAATCATCCAGGAGGCAATCCTGTTGTTATAGTCATTAAAAAAAATCAAAATCTGGTTAGGGCCCACAGTCAAGTGGTGAGTTGCTAAATCCATTGTTCTAATACTTGATACTTCACGTTACTATTTCAGAAACAGGGATCAGCAGTGTTATGTATGTATGTGAGGCTGATTGGGCAACATGCACAGGTATTAAATGTAAGCAAATTTGATTTCATAATTATTAGGTGTGTTTTTAGATTTCTCACATACCTAGTACTGTATAAATCAATTTTAAAGCTACAGCATGCTTGAAGGGTTGCACATTTCAAAGGTGCTTTTTTCCAACAATAGTGTCAAGGAATAATTTTAATTTCTAATGCCAGTAACAATTGCTAGGTAATAACTCGTGTCATGTAAAATTATTTTAATACTAAATTAAATTTTATAGGCTGCTGGCTGATATAATGATTCATTTTCCAACCAGTCAAGAAGAAGTGACTTTATCGGTTACTCCAATGAAAGTTTGTTTCAGGAGTTACGCCGAGGAAGATGCTGGTAAGGAAATGCAAAATCCAAAGGGCTGTTGGGACTTCAGAACGGGTGAACTGCAGGAATAACAACCTGCAACAGAAATGTGTTTCATAGCTGAATGAAATGGAGATTTTTAATTCAGACTGCCATCCTCTGGGTTAAGAAACGATGGTTTTAATAATATTTTCCTGGTATTGGTGGCAGATAGCAGACTGAGCAGCCAATTGAAATAAGTTACGCCATTTGCTGTAGGCTTCAACAGAGGTAATTACCATGCTGTAAGAGCAGAAGCATAAAAACAGACAGGGAAAAGGAGATAATATTAGGCCTTAAAATGAACTATTTAAATCAGAATAACACAATTAAAGAATTGATACTGTTACAGAGTATATCTAGTGTGTTAGCTGGCCTTGTACTGTTATGTTGTGTGTTGTTATTTTCGGATCTGAGATGGAGAGCAGTCCAGATTCTTGGTGTGTGACTCAGACTAATTTTAATGTTATGATTGTGTTTTTGAAGTACAGGTTCTTGTGTATCATATAATAAAGGGATGCTTTGCATACTTATGACCAAAGCTGAGGATAATGACCTAGAAGAGATGACTGCCTGGAGTGTAGGTGTGGGGATTGTGCTTAGAACAGGCTAAAACAGTGGAGAGCAAGAAGGAGTAAGTGGTGGAAACTGACAGAAGTGAATCAGGAAAGAAATTACTGAAAATACAATAAGATTAAATTTTGTATGAAAAATAAATGTTATTTTAAGAACATACATTTAAAAGCATTATTTCAATAAGGAGAGTGAAAAAATAGTAGGTAGAAAGGCAGTGGGATACTGAAAAAAAAAATAAAAAATCAAATGGGAGAAAAAGAGGAATAACAGGTGTGGCTTTTGTTGTGTAGCATGCAATGCAGAGCGCTGCCTGCAGCAGATGTTCTGCGTGCTCTGAAACAAAGCGTGTCCTTTGAACATACCGTCTGCTGATGGATTGGGTTTTTCCACATTCAGGTTTAATTTTCAGAGACAGAAATTACAGCTTCTGCCTAGGCTTGTTTTCATATGCACATGGTGGGCTCTGCCTTGGAGAAGTTGGCAGGTATGCTGTAAACATTTATTTTTGCAGTTCTAAGGAACTTTACAAGAATGTATTTGACCATGCAGTACGGCCTTGTTGAAGGCTGAAAAAAAAAACCTCTTCAGCAAAGAAAGAGGAGGCTGGGACTTGTTTAATACTTCCCTGGCAGCCGGGCTTTGGAAGAGAACTGCTTAAGCTGGTGTATTTTTCTGAATGCCTCAGAGACTGTGATGCATCCTGGTAGTACCCTCTTATTTTCTTTTCACACACCTGATAATAGCTAATGAGTAGTCAAATGACAGTGAGCAACAATTGAATACCTGATGCTGGAGAGCTTATTTTCCATTGTCATTTGCATAGGATCAAGAAAAGACGGTAATTTAGACTAAATAACCCAACTCGGCTTTCATGGTCCTCTAATCATAATTGCTGACAACCATCACTCTGTTAAAGTCATGCTGCATTTTGGCCTTCCCATCTATGCAGCAGTAAGAAGCTGGTAATCGCATTTGTGATCAATGCCTGTAGATAAAGCAGATTTAAAGGATTGACAGCAGGCATCAGGACGCCATCGCATAGCCGATCATGAAATAAGTTCTGTTAAAAGCTGCGTAAATCCACATAATACGCTGTATTTTTTTATTTTATTAAATATAAATTTAGATAAGCTAAACATTATTGTTACTCACCATTTGTTGCTAATACAAAAACATCATGGTTATAATAATTGTAGCTTTGAGTCCTCGACTTTCTTGTTATTTCAAACAGACTTTTCAAAGACAATGCTTACTGAAATACAGCTAAATCCAGATGAATTTGACTACTTTCAAGTTGAAGTAGATTCTGAAGTGACGTTTTGCCTTAAAGAACTGAGGGTAAGTTAAAAATTTGTCATTTTCCGTTAATTTGCATGACTTGACCTGGGCAATGGAGAACGATTCCTCCTTGAAAGCGTTGCACCAGACCTCCTGTCTGGTAGCAGGATTTCACTAGTTGGTTAAGGATTGGCTTTAAAAACAGGCATTTTCAGGACACTGCAGAGTCCCTCAGAGCAGCCTGTGAAAGGCAAAACTTTTAAACCAGCAGAAAAGTAATTTCAGTACTGGGCAGACATGTAACTGCTGGAGAAAAAAGCATCACGGGCACAGTAATTCTACTGCAGACATTTCTTAGGCAAAGCTCCAGGCAGAGAAGGCAGGAAATGCATGCTAGCAGCAGTAAACTTTCACCCTTTAAAGTAGACTTTTACTTTTTTTTTTTTTCCACTAAACAACAGCTGGAATAAATGTGTGCTAATCTTCATCTGTGTTTAAAATAGCACTTAACAACTCGCCCCTTCTTTTCAGGGGCTACTGGCATTTTCTGAAGCTACCCACGGTCCTGTCTCAATCCATTTTGATGTATCTGGGAGGTACGTTCTGGAACTACCTATCTAGAAATAGCACAGTTACAACTCTACAGTTGTGGCTTTTTTTTTGACTGCAGGTCACTCAATACGTATTTAACTGTAAAAAAATGTTCATTTCAGAATAGCTCTATTTCTGATTAACCTGCAGTACAGGGTTAAGTAGTTTGTTACTGCACATGAAGCATTCAACACAGACACCTGGATTGCTAAGCTAGCTGTGCTGTCTAGCAAGCACCTACAAGCTACCCCAGCACAGTTTTATTTAGTGGACAAAAGAAATTACACATTTTTAGTTTAAAATATAACTTTAGCAGTTTTTATTTAAAACTACAAATTGACTATGCATAATATTGTATAATATTGTTGGTGTATTTAAAAGGAAGCCATCTTAGCAGCAAATACTCAATTTTTCAGCTGGGTATTTTGTGATCTGCATGTATAGAATTGCATGAGCAGTTTCCTCCCAAAATACACGTAATGATGCATGCTGCTTTGTCTCTGGATATTTGTGTTTAGACCGGTTGCTTTCAGCATTGAAGACATGGTGCTGGAAGCCAGCTTTATTTTGGCTACGTTGTCTGACATCGACAATGGGACAGCTTCCCAGGAGCCCCTGTGCTGTTCACAGATTCCAGAGAGGTAACAGTGGGGTGGGTGAGGGAGGCAGGCTGACTTAGCAAGCTGAAAAGTTGGAGTTAAAAGTTTTCCTGCTAAGTCAAGGTGATCTGCATATTCTTGCAGGGCATTCATAAGCATTGTACTGATCCTGCAGCCTTTTTTCATAGGAAAACTATGAACTAGATACGTTCAGAAAAAGGTTTAGTAATTTAGGCCCAGCCAGAGCATGACAGAGAGACCTCAATCTCTCTCCACCAGTGGATTCTTTTCATCAAAGCTACAGCTGCAGTCTGCTGTTTGTATAGGCAGTGCCACAGATCAGAAAGCCACTGGGTGCTTGAGCAGCCTGTCACCTCATGGGTCTCTTACCTATTGTAAGCGTGCAAGGGAATGGTTTTAGGCACACAGCCCCTTCTTGATCACAGACAATTTCCATTATCTGTTCCACTGAGGAACTGTGGCTGTAGCAAAAGCATTATTTCTTAGTACCATGAACAGCACTGAAGCTTTTGGTGCAAAGGGGAGCGTTCCACAGTAGCCTCTCATTAGCTTTACCTCCATGGAGTTCTGTTGCAGTAAGGGGAAGATACTTGCTGAGCATCTGTTGTAAAGCTGTAAGGCCTTCCCTTAGCAGGCAGTAGACTCCTTAACAAAGCCATGCAGAGGCCAATTACTAATCTGACCTACGCTCTCTGATCTAGCTCAAAGGCATACGTGGACAAATCTGAAAACTCCTCCATGGATAAGGACGGTAATGCAGAAGCAGCTGCTTCCAAAAGGCCACGGCAGAATGAAAATGAACACAAGCACAGAGCCAGCGGCACCTGCAAGTCCTGTGGCAAAACGGAATACGTGCAACTCAGGGGAACATTCTTAAAGATCTTGAGGGAACAGCCATGCCTGAGACAGATGGCCAAGCAGTGCTAGAAGCAGAGTCAAGAGAATCTCATTATCACAAGGTAAGGACACTGCCCTCATTTATGTTGTATTATAGAACAGTGAAATACCTCAGCTGGCATTTGAAAGCTAGATGCTGCATGTAGTTCAGGGGCTACAACTATGTGTTGGTACTCAGTGTTCCACGTGGCACTTCAATGGAACTGGCTTTCAAAGCAGCATAGCTGACAAAAAAACACGTTTAACTATAATGCTGGAAATATTTAACTAGGAAACACCACCACAGTCTGATAAAAACTTCAAAATGTATTTTTAAAATGGCAAAAGCTTCAGCAATAATTAACCCCCAAATTCTGTACCACTTGCATAACATCTTATTCCTGTAAACGTTGCATTTTCCAGTTTCAGTTCTTGTTCTTTGGAGCAGTTTCTCCTAAGAAGGATGCCATCAGTCACACCTCCCATAGTTTAGCAACAGCTAGTGACACTGAAGAGGATTTTGGCAACATGCAGAGCTCCCAAGTTCTCTAGTAACACGAGGCGTACGAATCCAAGACTAATGTGGACTGCCTTGAAAGTTGAAAGACAGAAGCACATTTGACACAGTGTAGAGCAGTTTCTAGCCTTAGAAAGAAGTTTAATTCTGTTATGAAAATGTCCTGCAGTTCTTAGGCAAGCTGGAACTTAATGGAAGCTACTTGTATGGTAATCTGCATTTCACTAACATCTATTGCCAGAGTCTGGGAAGTGGAAATTCCACTCAAGTGTGTTTGTTTTTCCCCCTCTAAGGGGAATGTACCAAAAGGACAGAACTACTTGGTACAGAGTACTGTATCATTTCCTGCCATGTCACTACTGGTTAAGTGTTTATTCTCTGCGTTAAGCACCAGTACTAATCATTTTAAAGCCATCGCTGCTGTCGTAATATACATTTAGGTCGTTTAGATTTGTAGATGATGTATTCTGTAGACACATTGCTTTACATGTTCAGCTTTCCAGTCTCACAAGAGAATTCAAATTGCGTTTGCACTTCAGACAAATTAAGTTACTGTTGTAAAGTCAGAAGCACTGAACAGGAAACCCACCTACTGCAGCACAGCCAAATACATTAGTGCTATATAACAGCTGGTATTCTTAGAGAAACATTGTAGAAGTAGTATTTAGCTAAAAATAAATGCACTTCTATGACAACTTAAGTTGAATAAATAAAAATTGTGATTAAAAATGATTTGAAAGCATGGCTTATGAGTTCTTGTGTTTCAGCCTTGAATCGCTCTTTTCCCTTCCCTCAACTCCTCCAGCGGGAGTCAGCGACAGGGCTCTCTGGCCCTGGTCACTACATCTCAGCAAGCCACAGAACTGCTTGCAGCCACTTTCCTGGGGAGAACACATCCACAGCTGCTTTTTGGTGCAGCAGGATAATGGATCAATGTGATTTATACTGAACAGAGCTGGAGATCTGTACATTTGCTCACTTCTAAACAAGCTTGCAGAGAAAATTACCATGTAGTATTTCCAAAGTCACACTCAAATATTGACATTTCTAATCTTTGGTTGCTTTAAAAGATAGCTACTCTGCTTGCCAACCTCTTACAGAGGAATTCTGTGTAGTGGGGCATGGCATCACTTACAGACAGATTTGAGGACACCGCAGAGCTCTGAACGAGAGCCAAACACCTCAAGAAGTGGTGGCTGGGCAGCTCTGTGCTACCAGCAACGTCACTGCAGTAACAAACAGAATTTGTGCAGTCAACTTTACTTTAAAAAACACATTTTAGTATAAATACTATATTTATTAAATATCTTTACAATTCATTTAAATGTATTTACAGAACTATTCCTGCATAAGTTATACCTCAGACATGAAATTCACATAATTGCCTCTTATGTAAGCATAGATGATAGTCTCATTTTAACAACAACAAAAAAGCATCCTCATTAGATACAGACTCAGATTTGCTTCATTATTTCAGCTATCTTTGCAAGAACTACTTCATACAGTTTGTTTCTACACACACACGCACAAAGTCTGGTTCCTTCCTGGAGAAAGGATGTCCATTACAAGAGATGGAGATTCCATCACAAAATACTTTACAGCTTTGCAAGACCTTCACCTCTCCCCTCTCCCTTACATCAGTCATAACTGTCTGGTCCCAAAATCTTTTTTCTTCCCTTCTATTTATCTGCCGTACCTTCTTTAGAAACACAAAGAAAGCAAATTTAGAGGGAAACTGTATGCTGTAGGTCTCCCAAAGATAGCTGTAAAAGTAGCACAGAACCACAGAGTTTTCCGATTCACCACATCTTAGCCCTTTTTCACCCAAATACCCAGTAACACTGCTGCAGAAATCCCAACTCCCGCGAGCATTATTACCTGTCATGGTACCGTAGGTTACTGGTATCTAAAAATCTCTTCCTTTTCCTTCAGATTACTGCTCCCTACCAACCAGCTCCTGACAGCTAACAAAAACCTTCGGCAGCAGCTGAAAGTCAGCCTGTTCTCCCTTCAAGCATGTTTCCATTACACAGAACACCTTTCTTGTACGTTCCTCTCATAAATAGTCACAATAATCTAATTCCTAGGAAGTGTTACTGCTTCATGCATCATTTAAAGTTATTTTGATAGTATGGGCCCTGTCGTTCCCTCTTCCAAAAAATCTGTTGTGCGCAGACAGCTTAAGTTCATAGGAAGAAATTAGGTTTGATATGTTTAGAGTGCACATCTTAAGAACAAAAACAAAAACAAGCATGTGATAAAAATATCGATTCTTTATAATACAGTATTGCTTTATAAACAGATGGAAAAGCTATAAGCTTTACTGGTCTTTGGTGTGTCCAGTGAGGGATAAACTCATGATTTGTAAATTAAAATCCAAATTTGTTCTTTATTAAAAAAATCATGACGTGATATGAGGCAAATGGCTTTATAGATACTGCTTAGCTAAGAACTGCTTTAACACAGACAGCAAGGCGTAGACTCAAACCCACCAGGCGGCACAGTTTAGCTTCTGAGAAGGTGGCAGAATCTCCCCGATCGAGGGTTCCAGACCCTGGACCAGCAGAGGCAGAGTACAGCGCATGCAACATCTCACTCGGGGGTAAAGCACCTTTGCCATACTCATTTATCTGATCCACAAACATTTCTCAATTTGTACTTCTAGAAAGAGGGGGGAAAAAATAATGAAGGCTGGGCACGAGCGTACTGAGAGCAAGGGGTCAAGAGTGCAAAACGGTCAGGTCTACGAGGGCATTGTTTTAAGGTGAGTTCAAGGGAAAGAATAATTGATCAAATCAGCTCTAATAAAGAAACACGAGAGTAAATACTGGAGAATACAATGTAAAGATACCCAGATTTGAGAGAGCAGCACCCCTCCCAAATGCTAGAAAGAAAGCCCTATACTGCAGCATGAATACATTCCTTCTAACGAGACAGCTAGATACAGCTTGTTCAGTTTTAAAAAACAAGGACTGACAATTTGTGCAAAGTTATTCACCACTCACTGCTCCATGTATCGCGAAACTAAGTAATTTTTCTTCATTAATAGAATCCTCCCCGTACCCTCACCAAAATAGTATTTTGGTCAAGTTAGGGTAGTTAAGGCATTTTGACAAGTAATTACAAGGTGATTTAAAATAGAGAGCTAACATTACGCCAATTTAGGAATAGCAGATAAATTACTGAAGAGCTTCCAAATTAATCACTTATTCTTATTATAAATGAAATGCCTGTTACAAGCACGATGCATTGAAATATAGTAAAATGACATGTACATGGTACATGTTAAATGATCTTAAATAAAAGCTTGACATAGTTACGCAAATATACAGTACAAGTCCACAAAAATTCTTTAAACAAGTTGAGGTAACCTCAAACTTAAACAGTTTTAATACAATAAACCAGGTAGTAAAAATCTCCTTTTGAGAGCAGGTAAGATTACTTACTGACCAAGTTTAACTGCACTCACCTAAACATCAACATTACCCGACTTTTTATATATATAAAAACATGGCTTTAATTTATTTCTACATACTCTTCTACCAGCAAAAAAGTTAATGAAAAACTGACCAAAAATATATATATTTTTACAGCTATCAGCTATTTGTATGAACCTCGGAAAAGAAAGGAAAGCTTGCTGGAACAGGGGGGAACAATTGTGAGCTACTGTATTCGAAAGGAAATGTCATATTGCAAAGTGGCTGTTAGATAACTGTAAACATCATTAAGGTTCATTCTGAAAACCCTAAACTTTAGTTACTGAAATGTAAGTTTTGCTGATTATTCATTAATTGTTTCCATTTATGTACTTACTGCTGCTGCCACAGCATAAGCAAAGAGGTGCGTGGTTGAGAGCCAGAAATACAAGGATCAGCTGGGCTTGAACTGGTCCAGCGTGTGCTGTTCTACACAAGCAAGAGTGGCAATATTAACACAAATCATGTTTAGTTAACAACAAAGGTTATCCACCAAAAGTGAAGATGTTCAGAGTTGAGGCTGATCTGTTCTTTGTGCAGCCTCCCACTGTAGCATTTACGCCATGTCATCCTGTGCTGGTGAGATGGGTTAAAATGCTCGAAGGATCTCAACTTTGACCATCTTGGCTTCTTGAGACAAGAGTTATAATTTTTCTTTAAAAAAAATAAAGTTATCCACAGCCAAAACATCCAGATATCAGGCCCGTTATGGACGAATGATCTGCAGAACTTTTAAGATCACAGTTAAGCACCTGAAATCACAACACATTTGCATCCATATAACTTGACCTAAGTATGTTTTTGAAATTTTGTACTAGAAAAGGCTCCTAGGCTGACACCATGTATGGCAAGAGCAAAAAGTTTACAGCAGTTATAAATCTCCTGAAAACCAGAACTTAGAAACACGAAACCTCAGCTATCACTGTAACAAGACTATGCTTATGAAACTGTGTTCTGTAACATACCCTTTAATGAACAGTGAATGTTTCTAGTAGATAGAATAATATGCCCTCCTGTAGAGGTTTTATCTATTGAATCTAATTTGAAAGATGATAAACCAATTCTACTCATCTGAAAGTAAGTCACATTTCAAATGCGGTAACGATATGGGATTGATCCTCCCCCTTTTATGGACAATTACTAAGCTCTGAAAGACATGCTTCAAGCCTTGAACTTCTTCATTTCTTGCTGGCAGACAAAGACCAGTGTACTACGAGAGTGGTTCTTAACAAGGATTTCAGTTGTGTCTCAAGACAGGCAACGAGCTCAAAAACTGGCTGCTGAGATCAGCTGCAAAGGACAAAAGCAATCCTGCCAGCAGGAAACCGTACGTGAAGCGAGGAGCTCGGGGATAATGAAAACATCAGAAGCTGGCACTCGGCAGATCAGTCTGTGTACTCGGCTACAATAGAAAGAAGGACGGTGATGTCATCTGGTTTTCCCCCTGCAATATGGAAAGAATAAAACTGTTGTCAAACCACACTGGGTTGTCCTCCTCTAGCCTGTCATGTTCCCCCATGGAAAGCTCTTTTTGAGCTGGTTTAAATATGCAAAAAATGTATCGTGTAGACAAGGGAACTCTGCTTCCTCCACTTCCTCTCAGCTGTACAACTGAGGGTAGCAATGACATTTAGAAAAAAAGCTCTCTCCTTTTAAGCCAGAGTGAGATCATGAACTAATAGAAGGTACATAGAACCCTGAGCATCACTGTTAGCCAGTAGAGCACAGGAACGAGAGATCACAACTGACACATTAATGAAGAGTCAGAAAGAACAACAAAATTCCTACAGTGGGCAGAATCTCGACTAAAATGCATCAAAAGAATAGGAAACTTAAAAACAAAACAAAACCAAAAAAAAAAAACCACACACTAACAACAAGAAAACCCACACACAAATCCTAACAACAGGTCAAGTGCAGTTCTCCTGGGAGCTGGGAGAATTTGTATCAGGCTGGGTTCTTGGGCCAAGAGCCTACGTATTAGATTAAACCATAAAAAATAAAAATCAGTGCAGAGTTCTCTGCGTTCCAGCTACTTCCCCACAGGAGGCTTCTGATTAGCTGAGGCCTGGGATGACCTGCGTCAGGAGCTGGGGTCCTTGCCAAGCCAGGAGCGCTAGATTGGCGCTCTGCTGCCAACCACATTTCTTAACACTCTTCTCCTATCAGATTTGGAAACAGAACTTTGCTCAAGATTTCTTCAAGATAGCAAGAGTGGGAGGAGGGGGGAAAAAATATCTTACCTCTCACATTCAATCCATTG